CTTTTTTTTATACTTCCATAAATAACCCACATATTTATAAAGATTATTCATTTTTTCACATTAGATCTTAACCAACCAATCGAATGAATAAGGGTCCGAGATTTGTCGTCGCAGTTTCTATCATTTTTGGTGTTTCTTCTTATCTCATATATATATATATATATATATATATATATATATATATATATATATATAAACCCTTTTCATGAGGAGCCTTCTACAAAAAATTCGCTGAGTTCCAACAATATATATATATATATATATAAACCCTTTTCATGAGGAGCCTTCTACAAAAAATTCGCTGAGTTCCAACAAGTCCACGTACCCTACATTGGGAACGACACAAATAGCAACACGTTCGGTCATGTCGCTTACAACGCAAATACGAACATGTCGCTCAAAACCTTATGTCATGTCGATTACAACTTAATGATCGTATTAGCCCTCAAAGCGCCCTTTCTTCCTCACTGCGAAATACCCATCCAATCTGCAACAACAATCCGACCATATCATCCCAAAACGAAAACCCATATGCTGAGATCATCCGATTTACATATTGAATCAAGAAGAACGAGGAATCTATCAACCCTCCACTGGTATGTTATCTGTAAGAACCCTAATTAAATTCAAGTTGTTTTTTACCCTTAATCAGAACGACCCTTGAAATTCTGCTTCCATGAAACTATTTGAAGTTTGTCCCTTATCCTCGGAAGTCCCAAACACAATTTTCTTCCAGAGATTTGTTCCAGTTTGTAATTTCAAAATCTTTCTTGGCAAAACCATAATTTTTTGATTCCTTAATATAATCACCTTTGCCTTTCATGGGTTGTTATATTTCTTTATTATTATCTTTTAATGTTATAAAACTCTCACTTTTAGGATAGGAGTAACCCCATATGGTTTTGCTTTTCATCAATTCCTGTCAAATGTTTTAAATGAAAGTAATTTGAAAGTAATGATATGTATGATCTGAAAGAAATGATAGATCCCCTGTTGCATTTATAAGACCTTATAAACCAACTTAAAATGCAACAATAGAACATTCACTTCCAATTGATTTAAAAAGTGCAAATTTGAACTTAATATCAATATTTATTCATGAGCTGTAAAATATGTTTTCCATGTATGCTGTCAAGTCACTTGTTTCAAAAAGTGCAAATTTGATCTTAATATCAATATTTATTCATGAGCTATAAAAATATGTTTCCCCTGAATGTTGTGAATTAAAATTCTCCTTTCTGGAATACCTATATTGTTTATATCTTTGTTCCTTCAATTAGATGAAATGGGTGATGTTTCCTCATAACTGTTAAAAATTTGAATATGGTCTCAAGTATAATGTAGGGAATTTAATTAAAGTAATTTCCTTGTGCATTATTTGTTGAAAAGAGGGAGCAATACATATATGTATATCAAATGACCAAGTTAGTATTTTTGTCATGATTTATAAAAAATCAATATAAATCGATATAAGACGACATCATTACAATCTTTATTTTATATATTTATGTTAAATACAGTCATTTAAAGTCTGTATTTCATTAATTCAATCAGTGGAACAACCAATCATTTAAATAAAACTTGCATTTAGGTATAATCACTTATTTTTTTTAATGAAATTTACAATCATAATTTATTTGTTAATTGAACTTGATGAACTAACTATTGGTAATGAACCAGATCAGATCATCAACTGCTGAAATGAACCAGATTGGAAATTGCAAAAGTGATTCCAACCAAAACTACCCACACATGTGACATGTAAGTCATTACTCACAAAATATTCTCCATTTTCTTTACCTTGCACAATATCATAATCTTCATCTGAAGTGACAATTACAGGTCTCAAATAAGAAAAGACATCCATGAGTATAGTTATATGATATAGCATTTACTAAATTGGTATACGTTTATCATCAAATTTCAATACCATGATTGGTAATCATCAACCATCAAAAATTCAGACAAAAATAACAACTGTTGGTGGTTGTTCCAAGGTAGATAAGAAACTATACATGAGAATAGCTATCATAAATTGGAATTTTTTTTTGATAAATGTGATGATATAATAGAGAAGTTGGATATGTTTGTATGTGAAGGTCAAGGGCGATAATTGAAATCGATGATGGAACCGGAACAATTGGTGCAAGCATTTCAACGCCAGAAATTGAAAAGTTCATTCAATTAAACCCCAGTGAAATCAAAGATGCGGAAGAAAATGTAAGCCTACTAATTTAAATATTACAAATGTAATTTAACGCTCCTTTATTTAAGATTAACATTTAACAAAACAGGAACAAAATGTACAAGATATAATTGCAAAATCAATTGGATCATTACCGCTTCTAGCATATGTATGATCATATCAGACATCGAACCAAGAAAACTCTATCACAAGATTTGTCATTGTCAAGGCACATAGACTCCCAGAACATCAAAACGAAAACAAACAACGGATCCAACAATCAAATGAAGATCAAACTTTGTCAACAACAAAACCACGTTTCCTAAACAAACACAGAAGCGAAACCAACAAGACAATGGGAAAGCAAAAGAGATAGAAACATCGACAGTTGGCACATCAAGACCAACAAAAAAATGAAATAGAAATTGACAATTATCAAATTTGAATAAAATTTCTGAACTATAATTATATTTGATAGTGCTAATTCCATTTGTATATTATATTGATCATTTCCGCATTATGTTATATTTTATGTAATTAATTCCAAAGATGATATATTATTACATATTTAGTTTGATATTTTTTTTCAGTCTAATTATTTGTTGTTGCTTCTGAAAATAGTACATAATATAACATTCCATTACATTAATAAATTTATAATAGTTTACATCTCTTATATAATAACCATTACATTAATAAATATATGATAGTTCATGAGAATGTGAGTTTTACTTAGCTACCATTCTATATATATCTACAAATTCATTTAATAGTTTATCGCTTAGCTATTAAATTTGTAGAATGATTTAATACTTTGTTGTACTTTCTTTGTTGATAATTGTGAATCAGTTAGTTGTGATATGTTAAGCTTGATAGATCATCATGAAAATTTAGATGCTTCCAAAATTTCACAAGCATACATGTCCTGGCGATTTTTTTTTTTTTAATAGTTTTTTTAGAGACACCGAAGAGTTTGATTCCCACCCATTTGATGTTTGGATAACCATAGTCATATCCGTCTCTCCTCTCTGCCATTACGTCATACTTAATAAAAAGAACCCAACCTTTATTTCTAAATCTCAGGTAGGTTTCTTTAGTTTATAATTGTTTACTCTAACATACTTTGCTTTGGGTTTACTTTTTTCATTTTAACAAGTGCAATGGTTTATTTGTTTGTGTTTGATAAGATGTGAAGGTCATTATATCTTTAAATACTATTTGTGAATTAAGTGTGATCAATCATTATATGCAGGTTATTGATATAAGATCTTATGCAAAGGTTATTGATATAAGATCTTAATTAAAAACTTATATCCTATTAAACGGACCCAAATTAAATTATATAATGAACACATTGCAGGTAACATCACATAGAACATCATACAGATACTTGAATCTACCATCTTTATTAATCATTTATTGATCTGAAATTTGCAATTAGAGGAGTATGATTTTTGTGGTCGGACCAAGTCATGTTAGATCTGAAGTTTTTTTCATACAAAATATGGATTTCATCATTCATGAAACGGAATGAAATTCATTAAAAACGTGAAAACTCCCTTACTTTTTTTCTTAGGTTTTTATCTATACACTTTTTTTTTACCGTAGGTGGAGGGTCATGACATTCATAGTTTTTATAACATGGTCTTCCAATTCTAGGGTTATCTTTTTGTTAATAATATATGATGTTCAGTCGTTTGTAGACACTTTAGGGTAAACTTCATCCCACCTCAAATTTGAACACTTTTAGCCTCCCACTCTTTAATAATCATTGATCATCATTTTTTTTTTTTTGGTTTTAGGTTAAAGGATCTTAAATTGTAACTTACGGTGGACGTTCCGATAGGTGATCTTAATCATGATCATAATCGTACACCATATCTTCTTTTAGCTCATCCCTTTTCGTATCATACCTTCTTCATTCTCTGGTTGTGTTGCAATGGTAATAACAGACTTTAATCACCTCGTTTTGTTTTCCATTGTTATATTATAAATGTTATCATAATTGTAACTATTGTTTAGTGAAGAAGATCTCATATGCCTAATTGTAACTATTATTTCCATTTTTACCCTTGATTGTGGTTATATCTTCATCATTACTACTGTTTCCATCTCCACACGTGGAGTAGCTTGCATAATCACTACTTGATGAAGTAATATAATCATCTCTTCTTGGCCTTTTTTTTTTGAAAAAAACAACCTATATACCTTGTTTCGGTCCCTACAAAATCCCATTAACTGGGCCGGGGTATAACCATAGATTTCACTCGGTGGTCAGAGAATCTGCTTATTGATACACATCTTTTTCTTTAGTATGTTTCCGAATATCCATCGCCATCCTTATGGGTTTCTTAAATTCTCAACTTATAAATGATGGTAAATTTTGAGAATGAGCTCTACATTTTATCAAGTGACTATAAATTTTGTGTTAACTACTAAGGAAGAAAGAAGGGTTTAAAATATGGACTGTTGTTCGTCAATAAGGGATGACCACGAGGTGTTTGATGAAAAGCCAACCCAAATAAAAATTGTTTCTATCCATTTTTATGAAAAAAAACACCAAACTATAAAGGGTGAATGGTGATGGTGGTGGCGATGGTAGTGGTAGTGGTAGGTAGCGGTGGCAGTGACAGTTGGTGGTTGGTAGCAGTAGCGGTGGGTGTTGGTGGTGATGGTGGTAGAGGGTAATTTGGTAATTTTGCACTTTACCACTAAATTTGAATTAATTCCATCCAAACTATAAAGGAATTCACTTTCATTTATTTGGTGGGAAAAAAATTCATTAAGGATTCCATTTCTATCTCAAAAAGTTGAACCAAACACTCAAATGTGGTGTAATTGGATTCCAGTTTAGCTAATTCATTTACATTCCATTGTTCCAGTGAACCAAACATCCCCTTACTTTACTATACATTCATGTTATATTTGCTATTATTTGACATTTGTCTTATTTTAGGGTATATATATATATATATATATATATATATATATATATATATATATATATATACACCTCAGGCATTCAAAGTATGTCTACAAGATTGCAATGTAGAGTGTTCATGTAAGGTTTGATTGACGTTTTTTAAGTTTTCAATAATGATTTTTTGGCTATATGCTGGATTGTGCAAAATAATTGGATATCTGTCAAAAACTCTCTATTCTATGGGATCAATCAATGTTAAAAATGAATTGTTTAGCCGTAAGATGTGGATCACGGATCTTGATCTATGTTGCTTTCCATGAGCGTCATGAATCTTTACATATCAAGGTGATTATCCTAAGCTACACCGACATACAAAGGGAGTTCCTCTTTATTGTTGGTGCCTTAGTTGTGGCATTATTTTACTATGAACGCTCTATACAAACACATTATTAGTAAGTTATATAATCAACACTCCCTCATAAAACATGTCTAGATTGAATTGACTTCTAACTCTAGAAAATACACCCACTTATAGCATTGTATTTTTATTTTTTGGTTATATGCACAATATACCTTAGTTAACGGTAAAAAAAGATACCAAAATTATCCCCCATGGGTCGTGCTTAGCACGGGCCTCAAACTTTTCTAGTATATATATATATATATATATATATATATA